CCCCCCCGGCCGGTCCTGCCTCCCTCCTGCCCGGCTTCAACATGATGAAGTTTAGGTTTCGTCGGCAGGGCACCGACCCGCAGAGGGAGAAGATAAAACAGGAGCTTTTCGCCTTCAACAAGGTAAAGTAACGGGACGGAGGAGACGATAGGGAAGAGATGGTTGCCTCCTCCTCCTCCTCCTCTTCTCTCCTCTCCTGCTGCTCCCCCCCAAAAACTATCTATCTCAAAACGGGACCAGATATGAAGTCCAGCACTGTGCAGCGTTAGTCCCCGACCGCTCCTCTCTCGGTCTGCTCTCTGTTTCCACATAGAGACTGAGATTAGCTGATAATCTACTGCTGCTGATGGACGGACAGACGCCTTTCTTGTTTGTTTGTTGTTGATGTGTGTTTGCGGGGGTTCAGTTGTTTCCACGGCGGGGTTTAACTGGCTCTCGCCCCAAACGAGGCCCGCCTTTCAAAGTGAACAAGAGGCGATAAACCGGGGGAAACTTCTTCCCCTCGCAGACCCCAAACATTGCTGTAATTACCCACCAACAGCAAGATTATGTCAGCGATAGGGATTACCGTGGCTTCACGTTAACAAGATTAGTTTGAGTTGCAGGCACTTTGATGCTTCATGTGAGTAGTGTGACCCGTATCTCATTCAGATATTGATCAAGATGGCTGTCAGTGTGGTGACTCTTTAACTCCTGTGCCCCCCCTCTTTTTCACCACAACCCTGCAGAGATATTTCTTTTTCTTTCTTTCTTGCTGCTGCTTTTGTGGTGTCTTATTCTTGTTTCAGTGTTGGAGGGTCTGTGGGTGAAACCATGAGTGTCAGATTTCATGCTGCCCAACTCAGGCATCTCATCCACATGGATATAAAGCAGATCCTGTACAACCTCAGCTTCCTGCAGCCCCAGTTAACATTATCTATTCAGCACATCAGCTTTCAATGAGCTGCGTGTTGTCACCTTGACCGCTGCTGTTGCTAAACTGGTTGGAGCTGTGGACCAACTGGACCTGCACAGTACGCTTACATAGACTGGTTGAGCTCTGCTGTGGCCTTGAACTCAGGTTAGGTGAGGCCCGCTGTGTGTGTGTCTGCACGCTGTGTCATCATCACTCAAAGAGTAGAGCAGAGTGTCCCGGGGAGTGGGGATGTTTGTCCAAACTTTCTGATGTTGAAAGACACACTGGGCGACATGACGAAACGAATCGCACTCAATGAGATTTTAAATTTGCAGTAGAAATAGTGCGGTGTAAATGTGGATAAATCACATATATTAGCTAATTGTGTGTGTTTGTACTTGGATTTGACTGATGCATCACTATCTTATTCACTGCAGCTGGTAAAGTTAGTATTTCTTTGATGATTAAGTTGTTCTGGGAGAAGAGTATAAAATAACACACAAACCAGCCTGTTTACTCTGCTACTGACAGATAAGTCTTTCATGGTTTGTTATCTTCCTATTTGTCCTGTTTATTGGTCCCGATGAGGTCCATTTAAAGCCCTGAGGTTACTCACGTAACCCCGGTTCTGTGAGTCTCATTATAATATACATGTTGACATGAAGGGAACACATTATCTTTCAGTTGTGTTCTGTGATTTGCAAATGACGGAAATGTGTGTGGGAAGTTCCAGAGATTCCAGATTAAGCCAAGATTGTGATTATTTTATTGTGCGGACTAGATGTTTATGTTTTTGGCTTCATGAGAAGTTGCTTCCTGTGAGGATGTCCCGCTGTAGAGAGAGGTGATGAGAGGCAGCAGCAGCAGCAGAAGGGGTTTGTAGGTTGCAACAAAATCCAGTAAGATGGGCTCCGAGTGGGTGCAGACTCACAGACAGGACGCTTACGATTACTTTCATTATCAGGTCAATAACTGTCAAAGAAAACGTGTAAATTTTCCAAAGACTAAACTGACAGTAGTCACTAATTAGTCAGTAATTCATTATGAAAATAGTTGTAGATTAATTTTCTTTTCATTGACCTTTTGACTTCTTGTTGCAGCCCTACATACGAATAAATAAATAATGTCAGTGGCCACAAAGTACCGTTGACAGTATGTGTGTAGGTTGTGAATTACATCTAAAGTCCATGAACTGTTTGTTGCACTGTGACAACACACACACACACA